TCACAGTCGATTATGCTTCTCACATTCGACTGTGATTGGTCAATTTCTTACTCTTACTTCTTACTCCGTGTATTGTAGACGGGCCTTTACGTTTTACGGCAATCTTAAGCGGGGAGCACAGACTCTTGCATAACGCATAACACGTAATGCATAAGAATATATACCAATCGAAGTTCTCCGTTTCTTTCCCTTCCATGTACATAATAGAGAACTCTGGTTGGTTTAATTTCTTATGCCTCATGTGTTATGCGTTATGCAAAAGTCTGTGCTCCCCGCTTTAAGTTGTAAACGTAAGTAAAGCCGGCGGCATACGATGCTTGTTTTCCTACTGGATTGCTAGCTGGATTAGAATCTTGCCACTGTATTGGCTGCGATGCTGGCACTGACAGCATCACATCCAATACGGTGGCAAGATTCTAATCCAGCTAGCAATCCAGCTAGCAATCCAGCAGGAAAACAAGCATCGTGTGCCGCAGGCTTAACGCACAAGCATTGGCATATGACTTATTCGTATGTACTTGATCGGACAAAATCTCCGGTTGTAAAAATTATTATTTTAAATCGTTTGTATTTCGTATGAAGAGTTTTGAAGTGCAAATAAAAAGGTTTGTGAGTCATTGTATTAATCATTCTTTAACAATTAATCATTCTTTTTTGGACCATGTACTTGACCGAAATAATTAACCGGATTTAAATTCAACAAAGTTTAAACATGGAATCGTTTGTATTTCGTATGAAGAGTTATGAAGTACTATTAAAAACGTTTGTGAGTCATCCAGACATTTTTAATTAAATATTAAAATATCATGTATTTGACCGAATTATAGATATAGGCGCTACGGTCACGGAAATTCCGTTGGATAGGTGGTCTCTCTAGTATTTTGATATTCCATGACTGTATTATGAAATTTTTAGCGTTTTCGATTGGGGTGCACTGGCTGCACTCAGTGTCAAGAGCGTGTTCGATTGGCAGTGCCAATGCGCACTTGGTTAGTGTCACGTGTTCATTTGATCGCACGACACTCGCGTAGTGCGCACTCAGTGCGCACTAAGTGGCACGAGATATTTTGACGGTGCCAGTTCAGTGCACGTTTTATCACATAGCGTTTT